TGAAAAAATGCATATCAGAATCATCTCATAACATTTTTAGAAAGATATATAGGATGGAAACATAGTCATAAGAACGGAGGTAGTATTATTTAACTTTCTCCTAATTTTTTTCCTACATAAATTATTCAACCATTATAATTAAAAGTAATGCATTTATTAATAGAATAAGTTATTTTGGTAAAATCATATCCAAAAGTGATGCATTTCTTGTAATCCTTAATCTTTGTATGTAAAAACCTTAAAATGCAGTCATGTGAGACAATCCACTGTAATAAGTGTGTTGAACTTCATAATAATTGTCTTAAAAGTCACAAAAATTAAGTTTTTTTTTTTTAAATGGTTGACCATGTAAAAAACCATTAAACTCAATACTACAATTCGAATGGAAAATACTATGCGTATTATCTCAATGAATTTAATGATGATACATTGACAATGTAATGTAGTTTTAGGGGTTTAGTGTAAATTAGTTTTACATGATTATCTATTCATAATTCATCATAAATAATAAGTTTGTAGATACATTTACAATAATTATCCTAAAGACGTACAAACTGTGATTTTTAATTAGTCGCTTTTGTAAAACTTTTTACACCAATAATATATTATCATTAACCTCTATCTCAATTCCCACTACAGGCTCAACCCTAGTATTATAAAACTTTAAAGATTAGAAATGATGAATTAGTACAAAAGGAGAAATGGCTTTTGAACTCGTAATGTTTACTGAAAAATTAATTTAAACTTGGTCTAAAAAATACTCCCAAAATAATGACAAACGTATATATTTTGTGGAAAGTTGCTAAAATGAAGATGTTCAGTTCACCTTTTATTAGAGATGAATTACAACTAAAACATACCAAGTTCCACTAATTATGAAAGACCTTATTTCAAATTTCGTTACAATTCTAGATAATGTCCATTAATTTGCCAGTACTCAAAGATGTTTATATATAATAGAAAATGCCATGTTATCCAATATTATAAGATTTACAGGTGCAAGAGTTAAGCTCCAAAGCACACTTACAATTGGAGAATATTGGACTTCAATGTCATTGCAAACAAACACAAATTAATATGCGGAAACGAAGATGCACTTAATTAGAAAGATGGGAACTCAATCTGCGAGGCACATTTGCCACTAGGGAACACAGGGCATTCAATGAAGTGAGAGGCTGAAGTGTCCACACACAAGTAAACTTGGTAGAGTTGGCTATTGCGTGACTCATCCACGTTGCACTCAATATATGGAGTATACCCAATTGCATCTTTTATCGCCCCCTTGATGCTGCTCAAGCTATAAGACCCTCCATTAGGTTGTATCCCTACGAGGCCAAATGCATACATGTTTCTCAGTCAGAATACACAACATTATGTATCAACATTGCCATGACATGACATGAACAAATAAGTTGACTATGCAATATTGTACCAGCATTTGTAAGAGCTCGGAGGAGGTTGGATCTCTGCTTAAGGTCGAGAGCGGCTTCAAAGTAGTCATGTTGCTTGAGGAGTGACTCTGAGCAAGTGCCATGTTTTTCCCATTCGTGGGTCCAAAATTGAACCCCATTGCCACTAGGGCATGCTAGTGTGGGCCAGTTCCTCTGCAAGCTGCTTGTCAGATCTGATATCTGTCACCATACACGACTTCCAAATTAATCAGTTTCAACGAAAGCTGGAACTCGGAATCCAAGTAGAAAAGAATATGCTTTTCTAGATTCTTTTTGAATAAAACCTAATACAGTATTATAGGTATCCATCTTTCACCAAAATTAGAGTTAATTAAAAAAATCAAAATCCCACATCTACAATAGATAAAATAATTAAATAATATATAAGTGAAAAATAATTATCATCTTACAAGTCAATTTTATAAGGTTGAATTAGACTCAAAAAGGTTACTCACTATTTATCACGTGCCAAATTCAATAGTACTAGACATGAGAAGGTGTATTGTTAATATTTAACCTATTTTACCTTTTATTTTTTAAAATAAATGATTTTAATTTTTATATTTATTTTTTTAATCTCTATAATTTAAGATAATATTTTTAATCTTTATATTTATAATTTTTTTAATATTTTAATTTCTATCAATAATTTTTCTTTTATAATTATGTTATTATATTGACGCAACAGAGATCTTAAAATAAATAAAAAAAAATTTAATAATGAAAGTACACAAAAGGTACAAAATAGATGAGAAAAGTAACTTCATAAAATAAAATACATTCTATAACAAACACATAAAGGTTAAATAATTATTTGTCACAATGTTCCAAAAAAGAAATCAATAACAACACTAAAAGTATTAAAAAGAATTAAAAAGTTGAAAAAATAATATAAAAACTAAAAATATTAATTTTAAACTATAAAACCTAAAAAATAAAGTTATAAAAAAAGTATTCTTCTTATAATAGATATTATGTGTAATTTTTGTTATTCCTATTTTCAACTTTTCTGAGTTAGCAGTTGGTACACGGATATATGATATAATAGATATTTTATCTAAGTTTTGTTATTTCTCAGATTTTCTGAGTTAGCTGTTGGGACACGGATATTTAATTGATCTGTTTAAAAGTTTGTATAAAGACGCATAAAAAGAGTACAAGCTGACGTTTGCGTTGCTTCGATAGAAAGTGGAACACTAGAAACGGTTCTCGTCGTATTACGAAGACATTCTAAGTATGAATCATACAATAGTATTTTTAGGTTTTTTTTTTACGAGATAATTTTTTAATTTTTTTTATCTAATTTAACTTTTATTCATCATAATTATTTTTAAGTAAAACACGTATAATTAAAAGATGGTGGAGAGTTGTAATATAATTGAGGGACAATATATCGTTTAACAAAATATAAACACCAAAAGATAATATTTTCTTTAATAATATTATAAATTATAGATAAAGTACCTGAGATTGCTGAAAACGGTTGTTTGGATCACAATTAGATGGGTAAGAACCATCTTTGTAATTAGGCCAAAGCCCGTGAATGCCAAAATCTGCAGCGGGCTTCCCAGTTGTTGGGTAGCAACAACTGTTCTGTGTGTCACAGTATGATCCTGGCCACTGCAAATGCAAAATTCGAAACAAACATTATGTTATAATAAAAAATAAAATAAAATAAAATAAAATAAAAAGCTTAGTATAACATAAGGAAATGAATTAATGATCTTATAACTAGGTTACACAGATTCAAGACACATTCTCTCTAACCTGCTGAACGAAGTAGTAGAAATCAAAATCCTGGGAAGCACAGAGAACGAACAAATGCAGAAGCAGCAAAAGCTTAATCGAAATGGACCCTTTAGACTCCATCGATCTTTGCCACAATTCTTGTAAATTTGGACTGTGATTTGTTTGGTTTGTGTTAAAAAATGATGGGAAGGCTATGAATTTATAGACATGAGATGGAAGGTGAGTAGGTGTGGACGCTTGATGTCAAAGATACATATATCGTTTAGTGCCTAACCATCTTAATCAATCTATCATGGTTTACGTGCGTAACTAATTATGGAATAATAGTGACATGTCGGTTCACCGTTTTGTTACTTTTAATGTCGTGATACAATGTTCAATTCATGTATTTGGGGTAAAGCAGTGTTTATGTAGTTTATAATACGAAGGGATTGCGTGGGTTCTGCTTTATTATTAGGAAAAATTGTGAATAGTTATATAACAAATTCTTTTTAAATGATATATATCTCTATTTCAATTTTTAAGTGAATATTAATATTTTTAATTATTTTATCTAAGTGAGATATATAATATTTTTATATAAAATAATATTATTTATATATTGTTAAAAGAGAACAAATTATTAATATAAGTGTCAATAATTAAATAAAATTTGATATTTTATTTAATTTTAGCTTCTAAATTATATCACAAGTATCATGCGTATTGTAATTTAATATATATATATAGATATTAATTTAAAAAATGAATTGGGAAATTATTATTTTTAAAATAAAAATAATAAAAATTATTATAAATAAAATAAAGCGTTGTACATACGTTAGAAATGAATGATAAATATACATATGATTTATAAAATGTGAATTGGTTTTTTTTTTTTTTTGGTTTACTTTAACTAATGACTTTATTTTAAAAGATGCGAGTGATTGTTAAAAATTAGAAGAAAAAAATATATGTATCATTTAAATAGATTTGAAGAGAAATGAGTACAATTTTTTCTTAATTTTATTTGATTTAATCATAAGTTTTAACACACATTTCACGATTTTACATATTTGATCATCAAATTTAATATATTGTACCATTTTTATGAATCAATCATTTGATATCAATAATTAATTGTTGATTGTAATTATATTAATTACTATCATAATACGATAATTGCTGACTTTTATCACCCAAATGGATACTAGGTGATATAATACGTGTCTAACTCCAAGCGTGTAGTTTAGTGGTAGGGGTTGATTCACACTTAAGCAAGGTTAGGGGTTTAAATCCTATCTTGTGTATGTAGTCGTGTTAATCCTTGAGATACCTGTACAAAACCCTTGAAACATGGGCGAACTTTTTATTTTTATTTTCTCTAAGCATGCCAATAATACTACACGTAAAACCAAATCCAGTTTTGCATAGGAAGGCATCTTGGTGGTGGAAGGATATAGTGTGGGTGCTACATCAAGGGAATTATTGGTTGGACGAAAAGATTGAACGTTGTATTGGTGATGGTACTATGACCCGATTTTGGGAGGATAAGTGGATAGGTGGTTTGCGCTTGTTGGAAGTATTTCCTCGGTTGTTCTCCTTTGCCTTTGACCCATTGTCAGTGGTGGCAGATAATGGAACTTGGGAGGGATCTACATGGGTGTGGCAGGTTAAGTGGAGAAGAGAACCTTTTGTCCATGAAGGTAGGAGTGTGAATATCTTGTTGGATATGCTTAAGGGCTTGCAAGTTATCTCGTCAAGGCAAGATTATTGGAGATGGACTTATGACAAGGACGGTGTATTCTCGGGTTGCTCAAATGTTGAGAGGAAGCCATCGTGGTGGTGGAAGGATATAGTGTGGGTGCTGCATCAAGGGAATTATTGGTTGGACGAAAAGATTGAACGTTGTATTGGTGATGGTACTATGACCCGATTTTGGGAGGATAAGTGGATAGGTGGTTTGCGCTTGTTGGAAGTATTTCCTCGGTTGTTCTCCTTTGCCTTTGACCCATTGTCAGTGGTGGCAGATAATGGAACTTGGGAGGGATCTACATGGGTGTGGCAGGTTAAGTGGAGAAGAGAACCTTTTGTCCATGAAGGTAGGAGTGTGAATATCTTGTTGGATATGCTTAAGGGCTTGCAAGTTATCTCGTCAAGGCAAGATTATTGGAGATGGATTTATGACAAGGACGGTGTATTCTCGGTGAAAAGTGCGTACCTTTGGCTACAAAGATCGGTAGGTGGAGAACTCAGAAACTCTTCGGATTTTCAACTAGTTATAAAAAGACTTTGGAAATGTAAGGCTCCGATCAAGTGTTTGGTCTTTTGTTGGCAAGTGCTATTGAATGCGTTCCCGTGCAAATCATTGTTACAAGTACGTGGTGTGGAGTTGGAAAATAATCTCTGTTCTTTTTGCTCTCTGTTTGTAGAAAATCCTCTTCATCTCTTTCTAATGTGTCCGATGGCTTTTAATACTTGGTTAGCTGTTGCTAAGTGGTTGGAGGTTACGGTGGTGTTCCCCAATTCTATAACTTCTCATTATTTATATTGGACGAATCTTGGCATATATGAAAAACATTCTCAATTATTGCGAGTAGTCTGGGTTTCTGTCATTTGGTCCCTATGGCTTCATCGAAATGTTATTATCTTTCAGCAAGGTACTATAGATGCCAAGGAAGTGTTGGATAATATTAAATTGCGTTCATGGAAGTGGATAAATTGTTCTATCCCTGTTTGTTCTTTTAGTTACTCAACTTGGTATAATAACCCAACATTGTATTTCTTATAGTTTCTATTTTAGATTTTAGACTAATTTTGTATCTGTATCTCTTGTAACGGGTTGGAGTACCCCTTGTACTCCTTTTAATATTAATCTCTTTTGCTTATCAAAAAAAAAAATCCAGTTTTGCATTTTCGTGAAGGGGTTGTGAAACAAAACATGATACACCTGTATAAAAAGCCCAAAAATGAGGCTGTTGAAATGCGTTCACACGCGGGACCACAAAAAATTGATGCGTTTACATGGAAAATATGACTTACTGGAAAGTCTATCTTACACACTTGGTGAGAAGAGGAAACTTGTTATTGTACACCATAGGGAAAATTGAAACGGCTATTTAGTATTTATGTACCAGATAAAGTCGGCAAGATCATAAAGTGGATCAATTTATCTAAATTGGGATAAGACAAATTGCTCTATTAAAAAAGTGAGAGTAAATTAGTCCATCAAAAGAAATAACTTGAAAAACATAATTTATCTTAGCAATGGATTGACACGTTAATTCATTTTAGTAGATTTATGAGTTAAAATGATGGATTGACAAGTTTTTAATCCATTCAATTTTTTTCAAAAAAATTATAATTAAAATATTTTAATATATATTATTACTTTAATTAATATTTTTTTTATTTATAAAATTGATTAAAAGTGTTATATTTTTATGAAGAGACAAAGTAATATGAAATTGTACTTGTAAAAAATACATGATTATAATAATATATTTCTGTTTCATTTAAAATAAGAATAATTATCTAGAAAAAAAGTTAAAATATAAAATAAAAATATTGATTCAACATAAATTCACTACAAATTTATCTTTTAAAAATATTAAAATAAAATGAGTTTGGTGAAATAAGTTTAATAGATTGATGGTTTGTTTATCTAATTCAATCTACCAAAATTAAGTGAGTTGACTCATCGGATTCAATTCACATTACTATCTCTAAAATTTAGTTATAATTCTTTAAATATAATTAATATTTTCTTCTATTAGAATTAAATTTTTATTTTAATATTATATTTAAATATTTATTAAAATGAGACTTATATTAAATATAAATATATAATATCATAATAAAATTCTAAATAATTGTATTTAAATTTTCTCCTCACCAATTCTAAATAATTATATTTAAATTTTTTCCTTATTTGCCAATTAGTAATAGAGTTAGAGCACCTCCAATAAGGGTGTTTATTGTGTTGCTTAATAATAAGCAACGGTACTTATAAAAACCTTCCATTGGAGTGGTCCTAGGTGGCAACCCAGTTGTTTAATTTTTTTTCCAATTGCTTGTACAAGGAACGGTGCTTAGCACTGACAAATTTGAAAAAGAGAAACGTGATTGGCTGATAGGAATATGAAAAGGGTTTTGAAAATAATAAAAACAAATAAAACTTCCATCTTTAGGTTCTTCCTTTGTTGGGCATGTGCGAAGGCCGCTGGACGTTGGAGGAAGGGTTGTCGACGCCGGCCACCAGTCGTCGGTCGCGCGTTGCCGGCGGCGCGTCTCCGGCCATGCTTAGCCGTCCGGACCACGGAGTACTCCCCCTAACCCGCGCGTGACTCCACTGTCATGAGTATCTCCGCGCGCGCAATTTCGTTGAACCAGACTTTACCGGTGCGAAACTGCCCGACCAGCCCGATCAGACCCCCGGTCTGCGCACGCCTCCGCTTGACTAACCTCCCGCGCGCGACTCATCGCACGACAGACTTCATACGGTGAAAGCTTAAGTGAAGAGAAAGAGAGAGTGAAGGGAAAAAGAAAGAGAAATGTGAAGAGACAAGAGACGTAAATAAAAATAAATTAAAAAAAAAGAGACGAGAGACGTTGATATTTCTTTTTTTTTATTATTTATTTATTATGTAATTTCTTTTTATTATTATAATTTTTGGTTTTTTTTTTATTTTGTAATTTCTTTTTATTATTGTAATTTTTGATATTTTTTTATTATGTAATATTTTTTTATTATTGAAATTAAATATTATTATAATTTTTGTTTTGTTAGTTATTTATATTTATATATTATTCATAATAATTAATTTTATAAAAATTTATTATAAAGTGTAGTGTGAGGTGTCAAAAAATATAGTATAAATTGTAAAAAAGTAGGGGTGCTTATAAGGAATTTTCATTGGAGCAAAAATTGTAAAAATATAATATAAGTTGCTTATGAATGACGTGGTACAGTGAGACCATTTAAAGTGGTAGAAAGTTACTTATAAACAACTTCCATTATAGATACTCTTATGCCAGAAAGTTTGAATGAGTGTCTGAAATTTTAAAATATTAATATTTTTAATAAATTTATTATAAAATAATTATTTAAATAAATATTTTTTAATTTAAATTATTATTTTAATAATTTGGAATGAATTCGGCACACTTTTCGGAAAAGGAATCATTTTCCTTAATAATAAGTGGTATGAAGGAGAATTTCAATAGAATAAGAGAATTGCTTCATGGTCCGAAGAGAAGTTTCGAAACAGCGTCCGAATATATAAAATATTCATATTTTTAAATAAATTTATTATAAAATAATAATTTAATTTAATATTTTATAATTTAAATTATTTTTTTAAAGTTTCGGAATATGTTTCGGAACATATTTCGGAATGTGTAGAATTTTTCATAGTATAAGTTTAATGCAAATCTAGAGCGGTCCTGAGCTGGCGTGATTACCTATTTTATTTGTTCTTTGGGATCCTCAAATTTCTTCTCACTACTGCCAAATTTGTTCAATTTCGTAATACGTGCGTGTTCTTTAGCACTTTAATTAGAAATGAAGTTCTTCACCATGGAGCAATATATTCACAAAATAAGTACAGGCAATAACGTGACTCAATTTTAAAAATCTTAGAAATATGTATGCTTTCCGTAAACATTTTATAATTATTACTCCATTCGTTCTCTATTATAAAAAGAAAAAAAATTATGTATATTAAAAAAATTAATTACTTACATTTTTTTTAGATAATCATGATATTGTTAAACTAAGATTTAAGTTTTAAATATCTTAGTTAAAAAATACAAGTTATAAATATTAAAAAAAAAAGTAGAACAACTAGAAGGTAGACATTATAGAAGAAATATCTTAGAAAATTATTATAAAATATAAGATAGTTAAAATTTTCGTTGTTTTTTTCTTTCCTTCTTAGAGAAAAAAGGAGATTAACATTTTATAACTCCTTCCATTGGTATTAGAGAAACACTAATTACTCCTATTTTTATTTTCTAATTTAAAAATAAAATGAAAGTGAAATTCTAAATTAGTAAATCAGATATGAGATTAAATTTCCTTCTAACTCTCCCTTTTGTAAAATTGAAGTAATAACATAGAGTGAATCTAAGTATATAATTAGGATGACTATTTAAATTATATAAACAATTTCTATTTTTCACTGTATACATGTTCACCATGCATGGCCGACGAGTTTTTTTCTTTGTGTGTGGACAAACTGAAAAATTAATGATGTACTAATAAGTATTTGAATATTTTATTTCTTGTACTTTTATTATAAAATTATCAATAATCTTTTTAGAATCAAGATTTCTCTAAAATTATTTTCAATAAAAATTAAAGAAAAATTATTTAATCTACCTTGTGACATTGTTAATCATAAATAGGATTTTCAAATTTTTGAGAAAAACTCTAATAACATGAATAACTAATATTATTTTATTAGTTATGCATACATTAGGAAGACAATTAAATGTCTTCAAGGCACTACTCAATATCATGAAGCAGTTAATATTTAGTTCTTCATTCTCTAAATTTTTACTAAATTTAAATATCATGAAGCAGTTAATATTTAGTTCTTCATTCTCTAAATTTTTAGTTTTGGAGTTTAGATTAACTAAATTTACATAATTTTTAAAAAAATTATAAGATGTTTAATATAAAAAAAAAAATATCAAAAGCACCCTTTTAAAATTCGATATCAATTTCAATTTTTTAAATGATCAAAAGGTTATTTTCTAAATAATATGTTTAAAATTAAACAATTAAACAAATATATGCAAAAGCTTAAATTATAATATATGAATCAAATAAAGGATTTTTATGAGTAAATGGAAATTAGATGAAACAATAGTTACATATTGCATACTTTTAAATTTTCACCTTAGAACTATCAATTTATTGTAATTGAAAAAGATCAACAAGGATAGCATGTCACAAAGAAATTCATAGCGGCTAACAAATGAAGATTTGTAGTTTGATTGAAATTCTAATAATGTAGAAGAGCATGATTAAGAAAAAAAAAATGATAGAAGGGATTAAAGATAAAAGGTTAAATACCTAATTTGATCCCTTATAATATTTTAAAGTTTCAATTTAATCTCACTTTAATTTTTTGTTTTAATTTGGTCCCTAATAATTTAAATTACTGCAATGTCGGACCTTTCGTCCAAATTTCTTAAGCGGAGTTAACTGTTAACCACGTGGATGCCACGTAGATGCATAGGTGGATGCTAAATTTCTTTAATGCACCTGGAACTAGAACGGCCCGTTCTGAAATCAGAACGGCTCGTTCTAGTTGTACATGTTGTATGTTAACTTTGCATATGGAACGGGCTGTTCCAGATGCAAAATTAACATACCACGAGTGCAACCAAAACGGGCCGTTCTGGTTTCAGAACGGGCCATTCTGGTTTCAGAACGGGCCATTCTGGTTTTAGAACGTGCCGTTCTGGTTCCAGAATGCCAAACACAAACGGTCAATGATTATAGTTCACGCTCGTGATTCTAAATTACGATTGTGAATCGTGCAAGGAAAAAAAATCCAAGGTACAAAGCATTTCAAACACTAGATTTGGTAATATTGTCAATGGGGGATTTATAACTTCAATTGCTAAACATTTGGGTTATACACCATTTCTGGACCAATTGCAGGATATAGGAGCTCCTAGAAGTATTAATTATAATACTTGTTATGCAATGCAGTGTATCACTAAAGACAATGGTGGCAGGTTTTATTTTATTGTTAGTCAAACTGGAGTGAACCACATACTACCAAATCAGCACTATATAGACAAGGATGAAACGACATGGTGTTTTCCCTTGGAGTCATTAAATAATGGAGGTTATTTTTGCCTTTGGTAGAGGTTTTTACCCTCCACAAAATAAATTGTGGAGGTTTTCAAAAACCTCCGCAATTACATTTGCCACAAGTATAATTCGTGGCGGTCTTTAAAAACCTCTAGTATCAAGAGTATTTTGCGGAGGTTTTAAACCTACACTAACTATGAAAGTTTTTTAAAGGAGGTTTTAAACCTACGCTAACTATGAAGGTTTTTTTTTAAATGAGATTTTAAACCTACACTAATTATGGAGGTTTTTTAAAGGAGGTTTTAAACCTACATTAACTATGGAGGTTTTTTAAAGGAGGTTTTAAACCTACATTAACTATGGAGGTTTTACAATCGAGTTTCTAATTCTCCCTATTTTTTTTGTATATAACAATTTTTTATACTCATTTTAATTTCATAATCTACATGTATTACAATTTTCCATTTTCTTATGATTTCCATAAAAAAAATGTTATAAAAAATACTCATAATGTAGACATAGAAATCATATTTCCAATAACCAAAATAATAGCGTATAGTTCAAAGATTTACAATTTAATTTTCTATTGTAAATCAAAGTATTACATAAAATCCATAACAAAGTAATATTAGTCTTGTACTAAACTTTAAATCCAATATACACCATAAGCAAACTAAGGGTTGCTAACACCAGAAGATCCTCTTGCATCCAAAGGTGTATTAGGAACACTTGAAGCATCATTTGGATGAAATAAGAAAAGAAAAAATACTTAGTCACATATACTATATACAAGGGTGTATCACATACTATATCATAATGACAAGCAATAAAAAAAAATATCAATTCAAAATAATTATTTTAATATTCCAAACTTATGCATGGTTGATCATATATGTTTACTTGTAGACCTAAGATTCAATACCATTTTTTATGTTACAACTACTACCATGTGATAAAATAAGAATATGTATTTAGAATAAGAACCAATAGAACCAACAAAAAGAAATTACCTCTAAATTAAATATAGCAATGTACCAACACTACAAGAAATGTTACATATAGTGACATACAAAAAGTGTCACTATAGGTACAATATATGTAGGTATATATCTATTTGACATATAGTTACACACAATTTTAGTGTTAATTTTTAATGATATTTAACTACATATTTTGTGTGTCACAATAGCCTATACCCAAACTTTTTAATAATATACCAACATATATTGTAGTTATTGTATGGGTAAAAATAATTTTTAGTGACATGTATAATGTCACTATAGAGTGTGTATCACTATATGACAATTTTCTTATAATGCAAGTATTTTGAATAAAATCCAATGGAATTAGCAGTACCAGAAATGCAACACCATAAGTCTAATAATGGAATAAAGCTACCAAACATTCAAGGATATAATTAGAATCAAACAAATTTAAAGAAAAATAATTGAGCATTAATGTTTAATATCAAAATATAACAATACAACAATTAAGTAGTAGAAACTAGCTCTTATTAACTAACTAACCCCCAACTAATTAGCTATATAACTATAAGCCCCATTTTATTTTCCCAACTCTTCCCTCCTCCCAAACATACTATTAGAATAGTGCTTTCGGGATTCACTCTTTTTTTTTTTTTTTTTTTTTTTTACTGATCAAGAACGCGTTTTAAATTCAAAGTAAAATACAAGTGGAAAATAACAAAAAATTAAGCCCATTCTCACCCATTACAAGCCCAATAAAATATATTTATATTTAAAAACCACTATAATGGTGGAGTCTGAATAGTATGTAAATGGTTTAAATATTATTATGCTTTTATGGATAAAACTAAAAATAAATAAATTTAAGGTGAACAACTGAGATCTAAACCTTATAATGATTTTTTTTATTATTTTATTTTATTTTATGTATAAATGCATGATATGAACCTTGAACCACAACCACTTAATTGGAAACTAAATTTTTGTGTTCCATATATTACTTGTGTGCTTTTCACATATAGATGATTCTTTTATTTTAACCAATCTAAGAATTTTTTTATTTATTGCAAAGTACATGTCAATTGGCTTATTGCTACTCGTGTTTGTGAATTACCTTCAAGGTCAAAATGTGGACGTAGGTAGGTAGCAGTAATTGAGTGACTTTATCGATCCATTGCCCTGCACCCTGCTTAAAATGTCCAATTTTGCTAACTTGAATTTAACTCCAAAGACTAAATACTATTTGGAACAGAATTCATATTTTATTGTGTTAATATTATATATAGTTAAAATAATATAATTAAATAAATATATCAATAATTAAGATATATTTTGTCCAAAAAAAAAATAATTAAGATATATTTTATAATTTATATTTTAAGATAAAAGATTGATACAATTTTTTTTTATCGTATTAGTCAAAATAATATTTATTAAGTTCATAAGTTATATTATTAATACAAAAATCTTAAAAAAAAACCATTATATTTATTAACAAAATTAAATAAATATATTAATAATTAAGATATATTTTTTGTCCAATAAATAATTAAGCTATATTTTATAATATACATTTTAAGATAAAAGATACTGAGGCAAATATTTTACCACGTTAACTAATCAGAATGATATTATTAAGTTCATAAGTTATATTATAAATATATAATTTTTTGAAAAAAAATTATATTTATTAAGAAAATATATAATATTAGATTGAGTTAGAATAACTCAACTTAAAACTACATCAAATATGCAAAATCTAGATTTTTAATTCCAAAAACCCATTGAAAATTACTTTGTTATTATTGAGCATTGTTCTCTTGGAAGACTACAAGTCTACGAGTCTATCAATAATTGATTAGTTACAGAGGGTCTAATGGATATGATTACAATACTCATGCTCTTGTGATTATTGAATATGGAATTAACAATAAGCCTACCAAAGCGAGCAAAATTATTGAGTCTTCTTGTTATTGTGAAATTTTCAAGTATAATTAACAAAAAGTTTCCAGCAAACAGATTTCATGACAGGATTCTAAAAGTAAAAGCAACTATGGAAAAGTTGTCAACAAGTTAACACACCTTGTGCTTAATTAATTACCACCTACCTACGCACAAAAAAGGTAATTAACCATTATTCATGAAAATCATAGCTATATAGAAATCAACTTCAGTAATTAACTATTGAATTTCACATAAAGAGGCAATTCCATATAGAAGACCACAATAAATTATATGAACTAACCAAACTTAGAAAATAAATTTCCCATCTAACCAGATCATTTGAATCGTGTAGATAGATGTACAGGATTACAACTACCATCACTTAGAATATTACCATATAAACATTTCCAAATCAATCTACGCAATAATCTAAGTATGAAAAGGAATCAAATAACTCACTATGCCATTCCAGTTAGCTGGTATACCTCGCCATATGAACCTGTTGAAAGAAAGCATAATCATGCGTATTAAAAAAAAAAAAGTAATGCTCCAGCACATATACTCAATCATGCAATACTTAAAATACACTTGGAGCCTCCCCATCAAAATAGAAATTTATCAAAGTTAAAAATAGAAATTCTATCAAATTAAAATAGGGGAACCGATTTCAAAAACAATTATGATATAAAAACTAATATAGGAACTGCATGAACAATGCAAGTAGGATTAAATGATAGGATATACAATCAGACGTATCCAACAATGAACAAATAATAATGATAACTATACAAATATTATAAAACTAGGATTAGCCAAATTAAAATAAAATAATAGATGCTTTATTGTTTATTTGAATAGATCACCTTTCAAATATTATCCTCAAGTAGCATAATGAAGAACTCATTCATAAAACAATAGTAATTAAAGAGTCACTAAATATGATGTTTAAACAATTGCCACTCTGCCAATTCAACTTAGTTACCCTTCATGACTTCATGTATATAAGCAAAATCCAAAAGCCAGGGCATTTTAGAAACAAGAAGATCCAAACATAGCTCCCCTCAAAGATCTGTTACAAAATATATATCATATCTAATCCAGATTATTCCACACTTCACACTAACATATTCAGCTTAGTAGCCATTGAGAAAATTAATTTATCACTAAAATCCACAAGAAATAAAATAACGGATAAAAAGATAGAAACAGTTCACAATTTCTCTTATAAATATATTTAGATATTCTGACAAATTGCAAGGCACGTGATTTTGATTACTTCTATTCACATGGTATTATAGTTTTAGAAAAAGCTAATTACATTATATTGGTAGTGTGAAAAACAGAAATCAAGATAAATATTTCATAAATAGCTATTGTACAAGATAAAGATGTCACTCCACACAAATGTATTTCTATTACTCTAGTTTATAATGTGATACACTTCCAAATGCGAGGCCCGTTAGAAAGGCCCAAACGAGTATTTGAGGCTCTTATGATTACTAAATACCTCAAGCTTAGAACCATACAAGTAGTGTCACCAAATCTTAGTGTAAATATTACAACCGCTAACTCAAGATGATGGATAAGGTAATTCCTCTCATGAATTTTCAATTGCCTAGAAACATAAGCTACTACCTTTCCTTCTTGCATAAACACTCCACCCAAACCCATCTTAGAAGCATCACTATGTACCACAAAAGACTTACTAAAATCTGGTAATATTAACACTAGTCAATCTTTCCTTAAGAGTTTGGAAACTACTCTCACACTTACTATCCCATACAAAGACAACTCTCTTCCTGGTCAATCCAGTCAAAGGTAATGCTATCTTAGAAATTTCCTCAATAAATCTCCTATAATAATAAACTATCCCAAGAAAACTCCTAACCTCACTAATTGACTTAGGTATCTCACACTTAAGAACAACTTTTACCTTAGATAGATCTATGCTATACCTCCTCTAGAAATTACAGGACCTAAAAAACTCACTTCATACAATCAAAAATCATATTTAGATAACTTAGCATAAAATTGTCTTGGATATATCTTCATCCTCATCTTGGAGAGGATTGATAGGGGTATAGATACCCCTTTACGAGTGGAAGTTGATGGTATTTTGGGGTTCAAGGATAGAATCTATGTGCCTAGTAATCTCGAATTAAGGAAGATGATCTTACATGAAGGACATAAAAGTACTCTTAGCATTCATTTAGGAGCTACTAAGATGTATCAGGACCTTAGGGAGATATTTTGATGGCCTAAGGTAAAGAGAGGAGTAGAGGAATTTATGTACTTGTGTGTAGTATGCCAGAAGTCTAAGGTAGAACACTAGAAGTCTTTAGGATTTTTACAACCTTTAGACGTCCCATTTTGGAAGTGAGATGGTGTGAAGATAGACATTGATTGTAGGTTTGTCTAAAGATGCTTAAGAAATTTGATTCTTTTTGGGTTATAGTGGATAGACTCACCAAGTTTGCTTGTCTTACCCTTATTGATATTAGATATTCTTTAGAGAGATTGATATAGATGTACATCAGTGAGGTAGTGAGGTTACACGGGATTTTCAACTAGTATAGTTTCTTATGGGAAATATTTAGGAAAATGCTACATGAGAATTAGAAAGCTAGATGCAAGAAGCCTACCCATTTTTGTTTTCAGGTAAATTTTGGGGACGAAATTTCAAAAAGGGGGAGAATTGTAATTCACTACTACAGGATGTGCTATCTACATCGGTTCTGGAAGGTAATCTACATCGGTTATAAAACCGATGTAGAATAGAGCGACTTAGTAATACGAAGACTTCTACATCGATTTTTAAAATCGATATAGATATGTGTAAAATCTACATCGGTTTCAGGTAGAACCGATGTAGATTTGAGTGCACATCTACATCGTTGTAAGTAAAATCGATGTAGATTTTGTACGCAAATCTACATCGGTTCTACTTGAAACCGATGTAAATTGTATTTAAAAAAAAAAGTTCAATTATTTTTTTAGATTCTTTTTAGGTTACCTGTATAAACATATTTTATTTATAACATCAAACCAAAACCCAGATAAAATTGTTCAGTTTTGTAACAACTACTTTAAAAGTCATTCATAGTATAATTTCTAAATCTAATTGACTGAGTGTGTGTGTCTCGTGCGTTTGTAATTCTATTTGAGGGAACTTTCTTTCAGTGGTACAACAAAAGAAGAATTATTTGTTGTATGAGAAAATATTACATAACTATGATGGGATCTTTGCTACAGGTAGGGGTGGGTATATGGACTTGAGTCCGCGGACCGGTCCGTAAGTCCGCGGACTTCACGGATAACGGACCCATTTTTTTTAATCCGTATAATCATACGGACTTTCTAGGCCCGACCCGTTTAGTCCGCGGATTTTGCGGTTTAATCCGCGAGCCCGCGGATTACCCGTTTAAATGTGGACTCAAATTTTATTATTGGAGATGGTTGATTATATTTGATAGATGTAATTGGACTTACAAATATTTTATGTTTGTTTTTAAGATATTAATTAAGACTTTATGTTTTAAGGTATTTAGACTTTGATGTACTGGCTTTAATATTTGGTTAATAGTTGGTATGCTTGGACTTTAAATTTTAAAGGCATTGAGACTTAAATATTTCTATTAGAAATTTAGAATGTGTAAACTTTGTTATTTAAGACTTTGATTTATTATTTACAATGTTTGATGTTATTATTAGAAGTATATTTATATGATTTTATATTTTTTTTAAGGGGAACCAAGAGAAGGATATCAGCCAGATTTTTCTCTAGCTTCATCTTCTACTTATCCAGGTAAAGGGGAGTGAGAAACCTCGCTCGATGGTGTGTGAATAATTTTTGGGTAGTAGGATTGGCCCCCTATCCTTGCCTGATGCATGCTTCTAAGAACAGGCAAAATATCAATGTTTTCTGTTTTATTTTCTGAATGTTCTATTACGTTCCTTGTGTGATGTTGAGCATAAATATGTGTTTAATTTCAAAAATAAACAAGTTTTGATATGAATTAGAGTGCTCTGTGGGTTCTTGTGGGAAACCCTATGAAGTAAAATTAGGGATATGATCTTTGGATGAATTTTGAGGCATTATATGTAAAATTGATGATGGATTGATATTTTAGCTAATAGTTAAAGTGTTTTGAACAATTAAAATATTATATTAACTAGTTGGTTGTAGAAAATTCGTGAAATCATGAAGTTGAATCTATGGCCTTTATGCTTCTTATATTATGATTTGCGAATTGAATGGGTATGATGATGGATAACTTCTTGGTATGATTTATGTCCTATTTTGATGTATATGACTACAAGAAGTTCCTTGTATGAGACTATGTGAATATGAAGTGAGAATGTGAAAGGTGAACATATGATCTATGATATGATGTTATGAAATAATGTGACATGAGATATGATGAGACGTGATAAGTGAAATGTTGAGTCAATGAAATAGTGAATGTGTGACATGCATCATGTGCATTTATGACTCCAGGTGTGCTGCTTAGGCTGCATACCAGTGATGTAACAAGCTATTCCAGGTGTATCTTGGGTCACCAGTGATGAAATGATTTATTCCATGTGTGCCACTTAGGCGCATACCAGTGATGTAACAAGCTATTCTAGGTGTACCTTGGGTCAACAGTGATGAAATAATCTATTCCAGGTGTGTTGTTTAGGTCGCATACCCGTGAGGTAACAAGCTATTCCAGGTGTACCTTGGGTCACCAGTGATGAAATGATCTATTCCAAGTGCCGCTTAGGCTGCATACCAGTGATGTATTGAGCTATTCTTGGTGTACCTTTGGTCACCAGTGATGTATTCATGAATGAACGTGCCGCTAGGTATGATGCTGTAGTAGCATACCAGTGATGAGAAATGTGAAACTTCCGTATAGCGTCACATGCATGCATTTATGAGTCGAGTCCATGACATCATTACATGATAAATGAGTGTGCATGTGATACTGATTGTGTATGTGTATTGTTTACATGTGATTTGTGCTTGTGACTTATGTTTGTTGTGTGTGTTATCTAACCTTATTTCTGCACCTGAACCTGAGTGAGATGTTTCTCACTCCCTTGTTATTCTTGTATGTGTTTAAATTGTGTTGATCATCAACATGAGGATGTTAGTGATGAGGCTTAGGCTTCAGTTGGGAGTTCTCTAATGGGATATGTGACATCGGGGCATAATTAGACTTAGTTTGGGAATTTAGTTTCTTTCTTTTGTTTTGGAAAACCTTTAACTTTATTTCTTCTGTAATTTTTGCAAGTGAATTAAGATTATGTTTATGAATGTGAATTTTCTACTCTCATGTTAGTGAAACCATGGTTTTAATTCAAAAGATTTATTTACTCCAAGAATATGTTTTCATAATTATTGTATATGTATATTGGGGTAGAGGGTGTCATATTTAGTGGTATTAGAGCCAGGTTGATTCAAACTGGACATGTGTGTTATGTGCTTATCATGATTCTGTTGTGTACTCTGACAATATTTTGCTTGCTGTGTACTTTGATAATGATGATGATGATGATGTTCTCTTTGTGTTGTTGTTATTGTGTTTAAAATAGGGCTGATAGAAACGATATAGCTTAATTGATCCTATTATGATTATTTTCTTCAGTCTCATGATTGCTTATTTGTTTTGATACTTCTTGCTTACGAAAGAAGTAGTGGTTGGGTGGTATCTCTCGTGTTGCGAGCATATGTGTAAGTAGTAGTGGACGAAGCATCGTGCTAATCAACTAGAACTATTGGAGTATTGGATGTGGTTGAAACATATTGATCTGTTGAGCGTATTAAAATTTTATTATCAATGGAATTTTTGAAACCTATAGTTATAGAGATTTAATCCAAAGAGGTTATATGTTGAGAATTGGAGTTTTGAGTGTTCTTGATGAAAAGATGAAATATTGGTGATTTCTTTGGGTTTTGATGCTTGCATGTTTAGGGTTTAGGTAAGTTAGGTTGCATGAGGATTTTAATTTAGTTTCTAAGTCTTTTGTATTGAATATATGAGTTTTTTTGGTTTAGGATTGTAGGGGGAAGCTTAGATAGGGGTTTGGAAATGTTTGAAGGTATTTTCGTGGCCTTAGATTTTGGTACACTCTTCGTTGTCTGGTATAGGGGATGTTTTCGCTGCAATTTTGTTGTGTCAGTATGAGTACTTTATTGACAGATTTAGATTTTATGGAATCCACAAAAGTTGTAGCCTTGTATGTTATCTTTCCAATGGAACTAGAATCAGGTAAAACGAAGGTCTAGAACTCCAGTTATAGCTGCTTTGGTGATTAGAGGTCTAGCTGTAAGCGCTGAATATATCTATTGTGACTTTTGAATTTTTAGCTACAAAGATGATCTTTTTAGAATCTCATGTATTCATAAGAGTTGTATCTTATTCTCTTAGCTTTCTTTTGAGATAGTTTTGAGATCATTTGGATGAGTATAACTCTCTATGTATTATTTTCTTTGACAGTTGTTGAAGGGATATGTATGGTGTCATGATATTTTTGAGTTATTAGGAAATGCAAGGATAAAAAATGATTTTGTTATGATGTTTTGAGGTGTTTTCATGTGGATTGAGAGGTTGTTTAAGGTTGTATGATGCTATGTTGTAAAGTTGGTTCATGTACATGCTATATGGTGTAAATGGTGAATGATTCATACATGCTTGGGGATGGTATATACGAATGTTGAAATAAGTATTCTAATATGATTTGATATGCATGTATGTTGATATGAAGATAGATGACCTTATGGATCAATTAATGGGTTTTTGTGTCTTTAGTAAGATTGACCTTAGGGTGTGATATCATCATATTGGAGATGAGGATGAAGATATATCCAAGACAATTTTATGCTAAGTTATCTAAATATGATTTTTGATTGTATGAAGTGAGTTTTTTAGGTCCTGTAATTTCTAGAGGAGGTATAGCATAGATCTATCTAAGGTAAAAGTTGTTCTTAAGTGTGAGATACCTAAGTCAATTAGTGAGGTTAGGAGTTTTCTTGGGATAGTTTATTATTATAGGAGATTTATTGAGGAAATTTCTAAGATAGCATTACCTTTGACTGGATTGACCAGGAAGAGAGTTGTCTTTGTATGGGATAGTAAGTGTGAGAGTAGTTTCCAAACTCTTAAGGAAAGATTGACTAGTGTTAATATTACCAGATTTTAGTAAGTCTTTTGTGGTACATAGTGATGCTTCTAAGATGGGTTTGGGTGGAGTGTTTATGCAAGAAGGAAAGGTAGTAGCTTATGTTTCTAGGCAATTGAAAATTCATGAGAGGAATTACCTTATCCATCATCTTGAGTTAGCAATGATAACTTCACAAATGCAAATTAGACATGTAATAGAATAAGTAAAGCAAATCATCATTAACAAATAAACAAACAGTAATAAGTAAACAGAAACCAACATTTCAAACACAAACTTATACACTATAAAATCCAATAAATAGTATGCAGGGATAATGCTAATAAAGGCACCGCTTCCTGCTATACATAACCAAAAATAAAATGAAAAAAAACCAGTGAGGCAAAAACAAGTTTGATCTATCTCGAGCTTTAGACATCTAGCCGTCCAGGTTATTTTACAAAGTCGGTTACTTTCAAGGAATCGATTCCAAAAATCACATGGGTTCTCATTATCTAAAACCAACTTAAATGAAAGGATATAATAGAAGAATTGATTCCAAAAAGAATTACAATAAGAGATAATAGGCAACATCATTAAGAACCGCATGGGTTTTCATTAGTTGGATTCAAGAGATGGATCAATATCATCGATAACTACACTGGTTCTCACAAGTGGGGTTCAATAGAGACAATGAGAAGAAATAAAAAAAATAGGACATGAGCAACAATGTCCAAATATGAGTAAAAAATAAAAAAGAAAAAAACCTTCGTAGAGCGTTTAGGGAAGATGAGCGAGATGAGGGACAAAAGCTTGGGAGAAAGTTGGACGGCAACTACGACAACTACAACAACTACGACGACGGAATCACTGATTCAACTATCGAATCATGGAATGACAAAGGGTTTAGGGGTTTCTTTGTTTTTCTGATTTTCTTGGAGAGGGAAACGAATAGGCGTAAGAGGGAAGTTTTTTGTTTTATTTTAGAGAAAAAAGATTTATGCAGGAAATAATATTTTAATTAAAGGAGGTTTTAAAAATCTTTGTAAATTAAATTAAAAAATTGCATTTTTCTCCTCTAATTCTGGATGTTGAAATATGGCATTGTATTTTTAATAATTTGCGGAAGTTTTTAAAACCTCCACAAAATAACTTCCATTATTTAACATTTTTTTTGTAGACAATAACAATATTTCAGTCTTTGAATTTTTGTTTTCAATCTCTAAACCATATTTAAGTCTTTAAATTTATGTTTTGTTATGAATTTTTGTTTTCAATATTTGAATCACATTGCTGCATTTTGTTGAACGCACACATGCGGTTGGCGTTTTAGAACAGCCCGTTCTGAATCCATAACAGCCCGTTCTAAAATCAGAACGACCCGTTCTGGTTTCAGAACGGGCCATTCTGGTTCTAGATGCATTAAAGAAATTTGGCATCCACCTATGCATCCACGTGGCCAACAGTTAACTCCGTTTAAGAAATTTGGACGGGAGATCCGACATTGCAGTAATTTAAATTATTAGGGACCAAATTAAAACAAAAAATAAAAATAGGATTAAATTAAAACTTTAAAATATTATAAGGGACCAGATTAGATATTTAACCAAGATAAAATAAAAGACAAAAAGTCAAAGAAGACTCTTATTTATTAAAGAGAGGTCCTTATTAAGAAAAGTAAAAATAAAATAAGTCAATAATATATTATATATCATACTTCATCTTTATTTAACATCACATTTATTTTCTTAAAATTATGAATAGATTTTTCCAGAATTGTAGATAAATTTTTGTTAAGCAATAAAAACATTACCCATCAATTGATTATTTTTTGGTGATTAATTTTTTTATAATATATATATATATATATAATTTAATTATGTCAATTATTTTCATATTTATATAAATTAAAAATAATATAAATTTGGCGCCTACTAAAAATGGGGCTCGTCTTCCACTGATATCTGTCGTGCCAAAGAATAGAATGAACATGGCTTTCAGAGGTTTTATTCAAGATTTCCTTTTGATTGGGCATTCGTATATTATAACAACAATCATTAGTAGAAGGTCGAACCACTTTTATTTTTTTAGACTTTTTTCACTATATAGGTGATATTTGAAGATATAGAAAATATGTTCTCTACAACCTGACATGTAAGAAATTACCTGAAGATAAAATAAAATAAAATTATAAATTAAAGTTTAAGTTCATTGACAAGGAAACATGTTCATTTGCAAGGGGGCTAAAATGTTCTATACAAAGCACCGGAAGATCATGAAGTTAGTGGAGGAGTTGTACCAAACAAAACATACTTTAGCAAGAGATTGTTGAAGTATATACTTGATTTTGAATTTTATTTATCTAAATAAAAGTCCAATTTCTAAAACTTATTGATGTCAAATTGTAGAAGTATATTTTAGAAAAATCTCTTTAGAGAATATTTCTAGAGTAACATGCAGAATTTTTTAGAATATGTATAGTTTTGGATATTTGAAGACCACTCTAAAGAATCATTTGTAACCATTAGATAATAGGTTTTCATTTGGTTTAATTCCTGCATCATATGTCATACTATTGGTTTATACTTTTTTATTCCAAAGAACAAAATTACTAGATTTATGTATATAAGATCTCCAACATGTATGAATGACCCATTGTTATGAGATTATTTTGTGTGTGCATTGTTAAGGATTTTGAACTAAGAAAGAAAATATAGGACATTTACAACAATGGCCCATCAATAATCAACTACAAAGATACTCAGAAAAGAAATAAAATGCACCATAATCACCTCCACCTCTTTTTCTCTTTAGCGTATGTATACTACAAGAAAATTGTCATGTAGTGATACATACCCTATAGTGACACAATGTGTCACTAAAAATTACTTTTACCCATACAATAAATATAATATATGTTAATATATTGTTAAAAAGTGTGGGTATAGATATGGTGACACACAAAATATGTTGTTAAATCTCATTCAAAATCAACATTAAAATTGTATGTAGCTATATATCAAATAAATATATACCTACATATATTATATCTATAGTGACACTTTTTGTATATCACTATGTGCAATATTTATTATAGTGGTACTATATAACTAATTGCAACCTCACACATAATCTCTCATGTGTTAATTTGTCACCTTCTTTCATACACTTTTTATATTGCCCATGATCATAGAATCCCTTGACACTTGTTGATTTTCCCTAATAGAATTATATATTCTCTTCCACTACCATTTCTTGAATTTCCCTTTTACTATTTCCACTTGTGACATTACCTCCCAACCCCCTTAACATCAACCTTGCCCACAAGGTTGAAGGCGGGATAAGCTTGCTGCAAATAAGTAAGTTCCTTCAATATAAGTAGCATGTTTTTCACCAAACTTAAGGAATATTTTGGTCTTTGTCGAGAATAATTCTAGATTGCAAAATCTGTCATGGCTATAATATAGGATCAATGTCATTAGTAATCAAAGGAAATGAAACATATGATTGTTGATGAACACCTTGGCATGGCTTCAACCACGACACATGAAAAATATAATGAATTCTAGTTGTTAAGGGATGAAATAGCTTATATGCAACTGGACCCGCACATTGGATAATATCTCATGCCCAATTTTTGGTTTTTTCTCAATGAAACCAAATTTTGTGGATAAGGTTGGAGCTTAACCAACACCATATTTCCAAACTTGAATTCCTATGACATCTCTTCTTATTAGCATGTTTCTTCATATATTGTTGTGCCTTGTGCAAATTTCCCTTTAACTAATGCAAAATAGCATCACATTATTGCAAACACTTAAAATGATGGATGATCATTGGAATCTATAACATATTTGTGAATTCGAGGAGGATCTGATGGAGGACCATCTTTGAAGAACCATGTGGGCCCCATTACAAGGTCCATGGCTAGGAGAGTAGAAGAGGAGGAGGGAGCTCACCCACCAAAGGATACCCTCCTCATGGTCATAGAGTACTAATTACTCTCCTAAGTCTCATTAGTATAGGGTTTATTTTTTACCCTTGTATTTTGGGGTATTTTAGTCATAGGATTTATTTTTAATTGTATTTCCCATTTCATCCTTGTATTATGGGGTGCCTTAGATTATAGGATTTTTATTTTTTGGACTAGGGTATTTATTTAGGGCCTAGACGTATTTTTTGGTGAGCATTGATCTATTTTTGGACTTGAAAAGGCTTAGACCTAAGTGGAGGGCACCTAGGTTGCATAGTCTTATCATGCACCTAGTTGTAATTTAGCCAAACCCAAAGATTCCATCCTTGGCTACCAAGTAGCATCTAGGGTTAATTTGAGTTTCATTTGGAGTGCATTTGGCATTGCAATTTTCGGCCATACACTTCCAAATGCAACCTTAAATGCTCCCTCCCCTATAAATATCCTAAACCATACACCTTGTAAATACTTTGGATTATGTGATATTGAGATAGCATTTTTGCCTCAACATCCCATCCTTAGTCACTAGGTTAACTTTGGCTAGCCTTCTCCTATCTCCACCCTTGGAGAGTGGGAAACCTAGAGTGGCCTCCATCTTCATCTTGGAGTGAGCCAACCATCCTTGAACTTCCATCAAAACACCTAAACCTTCTCCCATCTTTCACACCCAAAATCCTTCACCCATAAACGTCCATTTTTCTCTTCAAAGGCTACTCTCCCTTGGTGCGCCTAGATCATTGGGACAAAGGTGACCCTCTTCAAAGATGTTTACATCATCCATGGAAGGGAAGTTTCCATCAGGATCCCTGCCATAAACTACCATAAATGGTGTGATACCTATACTAAGGTAGTACAAAATACTATACCAAATTTTTTCCTATGGAAACAATTTCAGCCACACTTTTGGATTATCATAATTAGCAAAACAATGAAAATATATTTCCAAATAGTGGTTGATAGCTTCAAATTGGCCATCAAATTGGGGATGATATGCAATGCTCATAGCTATAGAAGTATGACTCAACTTGAAGAGTTGTTTCTGAAATTGACTCATAAAAACTTTGTCTCTATCAATAAATGGTTTTGGGAAATCCATGCAATTTCACCATTCCCTTCATGAATAAATTAGCCACTTAGGTCCTAGTGTAATATTCTTTTAGAGCAGCAAAATAGGCATACTTAGAGAGTTGATCTACCACTAGCATTGGGTAGCCCCGTGATGAAATTCGTTGTGATATCATCTTATATTTGTTGTGGAATTGGTAAAGGATGCAACAACCATAGAGGTAGTGTATTAGAAGACTTAGCTTGCTGACATATGAGGCATTGTTTAACAAAGTCGGTTATGTCTTTATATGCATATCTTATCATTGAAATTGTGCAACAATCCTAGCCACTATTTTTGCCAACACCTGAATATCCTCCAAGTGGAGAAGAGTGGAATTCATGTAATATTTGTTGAATCTAGTCATGCTTCCCAAGAACAAACAATCTATGATTCTAGTATAACAATTCATAATGTGTGGAATAATTGGAATGAGGAGGAGTACCTATGCAACATAACTCTTAGATGTTGTTTAGCTCCATATCCTTTATAATTGTAGCATGCAATACAAGAAAATTTTCCATGTTTGGATGAGACCATGCCATGAAAAATGACCTAGACAATGCATTTGCTTCTTAATTAATTGTCTTTCCCTAGTTTGTATTTGAGTAAAGCCATAGCCTAACAACTTATGCAAGTAAGACTATTATTCAGGCATTTGTAGGGACTGTTGTGCAAGGCTTTGTAGGATCCATTGATATGTCCTAATTAAAAACTTGAGCACTAAGAAGTAATGTATGAATTTCATTATAGCTTCAATGATTGCATATAGTTCCTGATGCAACCCTCCTTGCATGGATTGAGTTAGAAGCATCAAAGAGGAAAATTGGACTCCTTGGATCATGGAACTCAAGGTTTCTAGCCTTGGTGATGGAGATGACCGAATGGTGTTTATG